TTTTTCCCGTTGGTGGTTTTTCTAATAATATTTTTTCTTCTGAAGCAGTAAGACCAAGGATTTTACCAACTTTTGAAGGTTTTTCACCATCATCAGGAGAACCTGGTCGATCATATTCTGGAGATAAAGGACTTATTGATCTACTTTCTGGATTTAACATTGAAATTGTTGATTTTGAACGACGTTTTCTTAAGGATAATGAACCAATTCCTGTACGTCCCAAAACCCTATCAGCTTTTGAAAGAGATCCAGGTGAAGAACTTCTAAATTCTTCCTCGGGATCTGAAAGAGAACCTCTACTAAAATTTTTTAGGGAATAAGTTGAAGAACGTATAGAGGAACTAGATAAAACGGAAAGTATTGAACGTCCAGAATTTTTGCGTCTAAAGGAATTCTTTCCTTTTTCAAACTCTTTACAATTAGGTATGGTTAATGGAGAATCGGGTTCATTGGAAGTAGAAGATTCAGTATCATTGAATTGTGTATTACTCTCTGTTTCAACAATCGACGAAGTAAAAGAATTGGAATCCGTATCAGATTTTCTTATTTTGTTCTTGTGAAATTTTTCAGAATCATTTATTATATATCCTAAATTATAATTTGAATTAGAATGTGATTTAATCTCATCTTCTTCAGAGATTATACCTAAAAATTTATCTTTATCATTTGTTATTTTTATCATGGTATCATCTAAATCGTCCAAAAGTTGGCTTACACGAGGGGAAATTCTGGAAGCATCAGGTGAACCCGATACACATAGTTCAAAATCATCTTTATCGTCCAGCGAACTGCAGACACTTGAACCTTTCCCAGATTCCTTTGATGATCTATTTTCTTTTGATACAGATGACTCTTTTTTATCTTCTATTTAAGGGGTAAATTGTATTAAATTGTAGAAATTGTAAAAATTGTAGTAAACAAATAAAATAATTATAAAAATTAAATTATAAATTAAATAAATTAAATAAATTAAATAAATTAAATAAATTAAATTAATTAAATAATTTAAATAATTTAAATAATTTAAATAATTTAAATAATTAAATAAATTAAATTATAAATAGGAATTAATAAAATATTTTATAAATTTACCACATAGAACGTGAGAATCAACTTTGTTAATATTGTTAGGACCTCTACCCTCAAGTTTTGCAACAGTCCTTACACGTTCTGAAGTTATAGCTTCTTTTTCGGACCTTTGGGTTGTTGTTAAAGTATTGGTAACATTCTTCTCATCCTTCTTGAAAACATTCGATCTAATACTGGAAGGATATTTAGTAAGCATTATGTCTTAGGGTGCCATACAAACACACTCTGATAAATTGGAGAACGCGAGAAAAAATAACAGAAGGGAGAAAACGGTAAAAGATTTTTGGAGCGAACAATCAAGAGATCGTGGTGTAATAGTAAAGTACTGCTGGGCGAGTCGTTGTTGTAACGTGAAAACTGGGAAAGTGTAATACTGTATAATAATATGTGATATAGAAAAAGAATAATACAAACACAAACCAGGATAAAGAAGACACAACATATAAATACGCATACACAAAGCATTCATCAAAATGAAACGAACAAAGTATTAAAGCAAAGGAAAGCAAAGGAAGAAAAAAAGTAAAAAGAGAACGATAAATATACCAAAAAGTTTCGACTCGAATACAAAAAAAAAAAAATAGAAAGTAATTCTTGAAAAGTTCTTCAAAAAGGATAATAATGAATTGCAAAGGATTGTTTTTTTTTTTGTGAAAAAAAATCAATTTTGTACTCCTCCTTACTAATAATTATTTTCTTGTTATAGAATTGTTGTCCGATAAAAAAAATTTATTGAGTATATCAGATATTTACTCTATGCATGTGACCAATCTGTTATCATATATTTATATTGGGGAAAAATTAAAGGGAGAAAAAAAACAAAACGCATTCAACAACGGAAGAAAAATATTATCTTGATATTAATATGTATTAGAAAATTGGAAGATGATAAATAGAAGTTGAGTAACCGAATGAAGGTATCACCAAGTACAGTTAATATATGACAATACTAATCAAGTTTAACAAGATGACAAAGATGATTTATATAAATATGTAAACATAATTATATATAATTATATAAAAAAGAAATAATGAAAATAAAGGATTATTGTAATTGTTTAGGTTATCAAAATTATCTAATTGAATTTCCTAAAAACTAAACTATGCACAAGCGAATTCCCTTTAATAATTAAAAAGACAATAAAAGGCCAATAATTATGGACAATAAAGAATAATCATAACAACGATAAAATAAAAAATATAATGACAAGGTAATCAGTGCATGCGGTTAAATATTACAAATATTTTTATTATTAATAGGTTTAGTACTTTTTTCTGTATCAAATGAAATAAATGAAATGAAAAATGTTTCGCAAAAAAAAGATAAATTATTCGACGAAAATTGGAAACAATAATTTTCTATCAAATTATTAGAATATATTAAATGTATGGGATTATTCTCGCATGGCGGTTTGTTTGTTGCCTTGGATGGGAAAACGATATTGAGATCAGGTGTTACGGATAAAATGAAAACACTGGAACGTCGATAAGGAAAACTGTCTGATAGATTATAAACATAAATGTATCTAATTAATCTTGTAACATATGAAGCAATAATTAAATAATAATTAATTTTATTAAATTCAGTTTTAAAGTGAATTGCCATGATTCAAAATGTATTAGTACTTTATTAAATGAAAAAAAATAACTAGTATAAAAATGTATAAGGTGTTTCCTATGAACAATACTCATTTTTTGCTTAAAATGTGTAAAAATGGAAAAAGAATTATATTTGTATCAATTAAATGTTGCAAGAGGTTGAAAAAATCGATATTAGAGTGATACAAAGGGCAGTTACAGTTTAAGAACCATGTTTTTAACATGATAGGTAAAAGCCAAATGTCTAATTGGCAGTTGAACAATTAAGGTTTTGAGACGTTAAAAGATCACATGAAACATTAAAAGTTCATTCTGTGTATAAAATTTTAACCGAAAACGGTAGTTCGGCTTAAACGGTTCGGTTTACGGTTTGGGGTATTATAATTTTATTGATTTATAAATATTTTTAATACAAATACAAATAACGAATACTTTATTGTAATGTGACGTCGTGATATGATATCTCATCTATGAAACAGAATTTTAATATTAATAAAGATGTAATTTTCGTGAATTCTTCCTCTGACAAAGATCTGTTTTATTTTTCTTTCTAGCTCTTCAAATTTAATCTTGAGCACAGCATTTTCTTCTATTGCTTATTTTAATTTTGTATTCTCAGCCTTTACTTTGGCATACTCTTTTCTAAATTCGTAATCTCAGCTACGAGTTTCGAATTTAATTCCCCAAATGAATCGATTGTAGGTTGTATGTTTGTCATTGTTTTATTTAAGATATGGATACATTCAAAAGTTTAAGTTAATAAAGTTACCCAAGTTAGATATATAATAAATCCAGAAATACCCATGCAAAAAGTAAATGTGATAGTATATGGGAAATCGACCCTCTTTATTGATAAAAAATACAATCTCTGATATACCAATCTTGACCATTTAATATAAAGAAATTGTTGCTATGCCTAACCTAAAATTCGATTTAATGTATTAAAATCGGTAGATCAAATTTTCAAATTTTCTTCGTTTAATATGTCTAAAACCAACAGCCATAAATAGACCTTGATAATTTGGACTTTAAACGTACTTATACGTTTGAAGAGTTCGAATTAATTAATGAACACTAAAGTCACATACCTTGGAACTCAGTAAATCTATTTTAGTTTAATAAAGGAATACTTTTACCAATGCCACAAAACCCAATAAACAAAAGAAGTCGTTGTTCATGAGATCTCTCGCCAACTTGGAAATTGGAATGTGTGTACTTGTCAAAACGTAATTATCACCATCGCAGGGGGGATTTAATTTCAATATTTCAGGTAAGCGAACCATTCGTGCTCCCGATTTTGCATTTATTCCAAAGAATACTTATCGTTCGCTTGATCATCAACAATAATGGACCTTCCAAGTTCAGCCATTTACATCAATCTCTGTTATGGAGGTTGAAGTTGTTCGAGAAGGATATCAAAAATTCAAGGGAGTTTACTTTGCAACGGAACATCGATTGAGCTTGGATGTAATGATTCGGGATAAAGGGTTTAGGAAGTTTAGGACACAATGTGTTAAACTAAAAGGTAAAATGAAGAAGAACTTTTTGCTATGAGCGAAACTTTTATTTATTTACTTAAGTTTAGGACCACTAACCTAGGTAAAAAAATAAAAATAAAATTAATAAAAATTAATTAATAAAATTAAATGATAGAGAAAATATGACAAGTTTAGGACGGTTTAGCCCGAATCATTACTGGATAGATAATAGATCCGAGAAATATGTAAATATATATTTATAGACAGAGGTTGTTTATCGAACTTCACATGGCTGGAATAACATACGACAGTGTTTTACTGAGATTAATATTTGATGTAAAGGAAATTGATGAGGCGATCTCACATGTAAATTTTATTATTTTTTGTTATTTTATGTTATATTATTTTATTATAAATTCATAACTAGGAATCCTCGGAATCTTCTTCATCTTCTTCATCTAATAAAGAATTGCAAATTAAATGTCCTGAATGTGAACTAACTTTCTCTGATCGTTATCCATTTATGAGACACTATGAAAGTCATTCATTTTCGTATATGGCGACAAATAAAAAAATTCATTTCTTTAATTTCTTCATAGCCAGGTGTAAGCGATGCGTGTAAAGTTTTTAAATTAATACTATGATGTATTTACATGAAAAAATGACGAAATTTTTGATTTTAAATTTTTTGACGCCGGAACATTAAATATAATAATATATGTCATCATAATTGTCTTTTTCATCTTTTTTTTTCATCCTTCTCTTGCAAAATAAATATAGAAATAAAATAAAAATAATCTAATAAATCATTGTACAAATATATGTGTACTGTATATGGACACATTACCAAAGATACGCGCCCTCTTCAACGATCCATCCACTGCTGATCTCACACTTCGCATTGATGGCAGGGCTTATTTTGCTCATAAATGTATTCTTAACTTACAATCTGAATGGTTTCAAAAGTATTTAGAAGAAAATCGTCAAGTTGGTAAACATTTTTATTTGGATTTTAGTTGTTCGAAAAAAATGGTTGTTAAAAAATGGTATGAATATAAAATTCGAAATAATAATAATAATAATAATGAAAAGAGTGATGAAGGGAATGAGGAAAGTAATGAAAATAACCGAAAAGATTTTGATGAAAGTGCTTTTCAATATGAGATTTATTATGATTATGATATTTTTGGATATCTTTTGGCTTATTGGTAAATTATTAAGACCTTTATTTTCGATGCTAAAGAAATTTTATTTTATATTTATTTAACGTTTATTATTATTATTATTGTTATTATTATTATTATTATTATTATCATTATAATTATTATAGTTACGGATGGTCAATTCAATCGAAGACTACCGATGAATTATTCGCTATTGCTTATTTAGCTAAGAAATTTAAAGTTCATAGTTTAACGAAATTCACTGACTGCCTCTTAAAACATATTTCAAAGTCCTGGAAACCCAATGAATACAAATGGAAAGTTGGATTGATGATTAGTAAATGGTTAGGATTAGCAGAAACTCGATTAACGATTTTGAAATTCTCAGCAAGAATATTAATAAAGATTAAAGATTCTCGAAATTTCGAGTTGATAAAATCCATAATTGATAAAGATGATTGGAATGAGATTGAAAAGATTATGAATGAATTATCGAGTGATGAAGTGCAAATCGAAAATGAATTATTGGAAGATGGTGTATTAGGGTTGGACGAGAATGGAAATGTTGTCGGTCCTAAAGATGATGATGAAGAGGATAACAGAGAGAAAAGTTTAAGTGATAATGATGATGATGATGGATCAAGAAATTCAGAATCTTCTTCTTCCTATGCTTCTTCAAATGGAGATTCTGACAATGAATCAGAAGATCATCAAAGAAGCATAAATGACGATAAATGAAATGAAATAGAATAAATTTATTTTATTATCGTTTCAATTAATAAACGATTCATCTAAGTTCATTAATAAATAAATAATTCATCTTTATCTTTTTGTGTTGAAATAATTATAATTTACACTGATAATTTTCAGTTTGTTTATTATTTACATTATTTATTATCCTTTGATTATTACTTTGATTATTTAAATTTTCTTTGATTACATTTACAATTTTTCACATGCTAATATGTTTTAGCAAATTTTCCTGCCAACAATTTAAGAGATAATATTTCGATTAACGTTACACAAAGACTATAAATATCGTCATATTGATCGTTTACCTAAGAAAGAAATCAAATTGGAATATTTCATCTTACGATTATGGAAAATATTTTCCTTTTGTGGTTCATTTAATTTACCGTTATTACGTGCAAATAAAGCAGAGAATAATTGAATACGATTGAGATGTTTACTTAATTTCACACAATTTCTATTTACTCCAGATTTTCATATCTGTCTGTACGAAAGAAGAATGATCCTAAAACTTCTTCAATAGTAAATTTATCAATGTTTATTACTTGCATTTGGAGATTCTGGCGGAAAATTTTTCGATAAATAGATTCAAAATATTTTTTTGTCAAGAATATTTGCATATTTTGTTATTAATTCATTAACCAATGAAAATGAAAATGATTTTATCACATCATTCCTTCGAACCAATAGATTTCTTTTAATCATGATAATATTGGGTTGCTTCTGAAAATTTTCTTCATATTTTATTTATACTAATACGCACGTGAAAGGTCTTCCATAGTATTTTCATTTCTATACTAAAATGGAAATTGGTTATTCCTCGGTACTAAGCCGGAAACTTCTAATTTCGGCTACATTATTCCTCGGGGAACAGATATGGTACCGTAAGTGAAAGTTGTGATATATAAAAGAAGCGCGTTTTGGAAACGAATTTTTGATAAGAATAAAGCAAAATTTTTTTAAAAAAGTATTAAATACAAAATAAATAGAAATTTGTTTTTATTCTTTATAAATATTGTTTTAAGTAATTATTTTACGAATCCTATTATTATTATTAAGAATTTTTAAGCTTTTTAATAAGAATTTTTAAAAAATAAATAAATAAATAAATAATAAAATAAATAAATAAATAAAATGCCTTCTCAAGAAACAGAACGAGATCAAATCTCACCTATCGCAACATTAGCTAGTGAAAATTCTCGCTCCGAAATAGATCTTTCTATTGTTGACACAGTTAAACCCGTTTCTTTGTCGAAACCAACTACCACAGATCTACAAAACGTTACTACTTATCAACTCTTTCGTTATGCCACTCCTAGAGATATCTGCATGATGTTTTTTGGATCCATAGCTGCCGTAGCTAATGGTTCATCTATGCCTTTGATGACAATAGTTTTCTCGGACGTTATTCAAGCATTTGTTACCTTCACTATCGTGACTTCAAAAGGATTTAGTGAGACCGCAAAAAATGATTTGGAAGACGCAGTAGTTGATAAAGTAATACTTTTCTTGATACTTGGAGGTGTAGTTTTCGTTGCAGCTTATTTTCAAATGGTATTGTGGATGATTTCTGGTGAAAATCAAGCAAAGGTATAAACCGTATAATAAATTGTATATAATAAACAACTACATGCTATATAATAAATTGTTTCCTCGAAATTTATTTGTTTAAACAATAGCGCCTTCGTCAAATTTATTATCACTCAATTCTTCGACAAGATATTGCATACTTTGATTCAAACTCTACCGGTGATGTCACTAGTCGTATATCTTCTGATATTAATCTTTTCCAAGAAGGTGTTTCCGAAAAAATTGGTGTAATTATTCAAAATCTTTCAACCTTTGTCGCCGGTTTTGTTATTGGGTTCACTAAAGGTTAATTAAATAATAATAGTCGTTATTGTTGTTATTATTTATTAATAATTGTTTTCATTTTAACAATATATATTTTTTCTATTCTAGGATGGAGACTTGCACTTGTTTTATGTTGTGGTATGAGAAATTTGTTTCATTTAATTTCATTTTAATTTATTTTATTTTTAATCATATTAAAATTCTTTTACGTTATAGTGCTTCCACTTTTGGCTACAGCCTCTGGTATTATGGGTAAATTTCTCGCTGCTTCTTCCAAAGATGGGCAAGGTAAATTATTATAATATCTAAATATTTTCAATACTTTCAAATGGTTTTAATAATTTTTTATTTGTTTCCATAATTTTCATAATACAGATGCCTATGCAAAAGCTGGATCAATAGCTGAACAGGCATTATCAGGAATTCGTACTGTGACGGCTTTCGGTGGCCAAGAACGTGAATTACGACGTTACGTTGATAAATTACAAGATGCTTACATTATAGGCCGCAAGAAAGCCATTATTACAGGCTCGAGTTTAGCATTTATCTTTTTTACCCTTTTTAGCACTTATGCCTTGGCTTTTTGGTATGGAGGTATCTTGATCGCAGATGGTAAAGCTAATGGTGGTCAAGTAGTTAATGTATTCTTTTCGGTTCTTATTGGAGGTAAATATATTTTTTATTTTATTAGTAAAAAAAAAAAATAATAATAATTTATTTTGTTATAATTTAAAAGTTCTCATCATCAACACAACTTTCGCGTTTCATAATAATAGCCTTTTCACTTGGTAACACTGCACCAAACTTAACTGCACTTGCAAACGCTCGGGGAGCTGCAAAAAAATTATTTAGTGTTATTGATCGAGTTCCCGTCATTGATTCTTCTGATCCATCAGGTTTAAAACTTAAATCCGTAAAAGGTCGCCTAGAATTTAGAAATATTGATTTTAGTTATCCATCTCGTCCTGATGTCCAAGTTCTTAAAAACTTTAATCTTACCATTGAACCTGGTCAAACTGTGGCCTTGGTGGGTAGTTCTGGTTCCGGAAAATCTACTATTGTTGGTTTATTAGAAAGGTTTTATAATCCCCTTAAAGGACAAATTTTTATTGATGGTGAAGATATCAAAAATATTAATATTAAATCAATGAGAAGTAAAATTGGTTTAGTAGGTCAGGAACCAGTATTATTCCCTCAAACTATTAAACAAAATGTCGCTTGGGGTGCTGTACCTGATGATCCGGAACCAACTTTAGATGAAATTATTGACGCATGTAAGAAATCTAATGCTCATGAATTCATCATGGATTTACCTGATAAATATGAAACGGAAGTTGGTGAAAAAGGTTCATTAATGTCAGGTGGTCAAAAGCAAAGGTTGGTTTATTAATATTCATTCTGTTTATATTTTTCTCTACAAGAAATCAATTTGGTAACAATCAATCATTTGTTTAATTGTTTAGAATTGCCATCGCTCGAGCTTTAATTAAAAATCCTTCAATCTTATTACTTGATGAAGCGACATCAGCACTAGATACAGAATCAGAACGTTTGGTTCAGGATGCATTAGATTCTGCAGCAACCGATCGAACGGTTGATATCTCTATCATATTTCTTTTAACGTATATATATTCTATTTCTTTTTCTGAATTATGATTTATCTAATTTTTAAAATATATTATAGACCATAGTGATAGCCCATCGTTTATCCACCATAAAAAATGCAGACAAAATAGTAGTCATGTCAAAAGGTGAAATTATGGAAATTGGACGTCACGACGAATTAATTGCCAAAGGAGCATTTTATCATAGTTTAGTACAAGCACAAGAACTGAAAACAAACAACGGGAAAGAGGAAGAGGACGAGGAAGAGGAAGAGGAAGAGGAGGGAGAAGACGAAATGATAAAAATTAATGTTGAAAACGAAAAAAAAATGACAGATTTACGAAAATTGACTACTAAAGCATCCACAGCATTTTCGTTGGAAATTAAAGAAAGTGAATCAGCGAAGAAAGTCAAACAAGCGGCACCATTTAAGAGAATTTTGAAATTACAACGACCAGAATATCTTCTAATGGTAGCAGGAACTCTTGGCGCAATTATTAACGGTATTTATTTATTTATTTTATTTGCGTGAACTTTAGATCAAATATTAAGTATTAAATTTTTTTTTTTTTTGAAATAGGTGCAATTTTTCCATTCTTCTCAATAATTTTTTCATCAATTTTGAATTCATTCTCTAAAACCGATGTGTATGATATTACGATTTATTAATTTATCAAAAAAAAAGTTTTTTAAAATTTCAATATTTAATAACATTTATTAATAATATATTTTAAAATATTATTAGAAATGAACTTCGTCGTAGTTCCAACTTGTGGGCTCTCATGTTTTTTATCTTAGCTGTGATAGCATTTATTGCCAATTTTATGCAACAATACTTTTTCATACTTTCTGGAGAAAAACTTACCAAACGATTACGTTCTATGACTTTTGAAGCTTTGTTAAAACAAGAAATTGGATTTTTTGATGATGAAAATAATGGTACAGGTATATTAACTTCAAGATTAGCAACAGATGCTACTAAAGTCGATGGTCTCACTGGTACTCTTATGGGTAGTATTTTACAAAGTATTACTAATCTGATTGTTGGATTGGTAAGTATTATCATTATTATTATTTTTTTTTTCTTTTGTGAATTTTTTTGAGTGAATTTGAGGAATAAATTGATAATTTATTTATTTTAGACTATTGCATTCGTATATGGTTGGAAGTTGACATTGGTAATTCTTGCTTCAACACCTGCTATTATTGCGTCAGGATTTCTTCAAATGCAAGCGTTAGCAGGATTTAGTGCCAAGGTAAAATTAATTCTATTAACTAATATTTGATTGACCTACAATATTTATTAAGATCTATTAATTAATCTTTTACTTTAATATAGACTGCTTCAGCATATGATAAGAGTAGTCAAATTGTTCAACAAAGTGTTTCCAACATTCGAACCATTGCTTCATTAACTCGGGAAAATACCTTTAAACATCTTTATGGTGTATCCCTCCAGAATCCACATAAAATTGCCGTCAAAGGAAGTATGGTGTCATCTATAGGATTCGGGTTATCAAATGGATTATTATTTTATGTTTATGCGTTGGCCTTTTGGTATGGAAGCCGATTAGTGGGAGCTCAAGAATATACCACGGGAAATATGATGAAAGTATTATTTGCTGTGGTTTTTTGTGCCATAGCTGCTGGTCAAGCAAGGTAAATATAGTATTACTTATATTATTCAAATTTACTACTCGTTATTTCAATATATATATATATAATTAAATTAAAAAAATTCTTTTTTCTAAATAGTACTTTTGCACCAAACACTGCCAAAGCAAAAGTTTCTGCTTTATCAATATTTGAACTTTTGGACCGTAAATCTAATATCGACCCAACTCAAAACGAAGGCAAAGATCGTCCAACACCAGTAATTGGTACAGCTAGTATTCATAATGCAAATTTCAATTATCCAGCCCGACCCAATCTAAGAATTCTTCGTGGTCTTGATTTATCCATATTAACTGGTAAAACAGTAGCATTAGTTGGTGGATCAGGATCTGGTAAATCCACCGTAGTTTCATTATTACTTCGATTTTATGATGTTCGAAAAGGTGATGTAAATGTCGAAGATGTAAATGTGAAACAATGGAATTTGGAATATTTACGTAGAAATATGGCATTGGTGGGTCAAGAACCAGTATTATTTGATCTTAGTATTGGAGATAATATTGCATATGGTAAAGAAGGATGTACTCAAGAAGAAATTGTGGAAGCAGCTAAGAAAGCGAATATACATAATTTCATTATGGGATTACCGGAAGGATATAATACATCAGTAGGAGAAAGAGGTACACAGTTAAGTGGTGGTCAAAAACAGGTAAATACTGAAATACTGTATTATTGTTTTATATATATATATATATATATATATTTGTCTTTTTTTCTTTTTATTTAATCTTTATAATCTTTATAATATAACCTTTATAGCGTATTGCCATAGCAAGAGCTTTAATTCGAAACCCTAAAATATTATTGCTTGATGAAGCTACTTCTGCATTAGATTCGGAATCTGAAAAAGTTGTGCAAGATGCATTAGATAAAGCATCCGCTAACCACACGGTAATTATTTTAAGAATAATAATAATATTTACTTTTTTTAAAAAATTATTCTCATTTTCTTTTTTTTTTTACTTTATTTTTACTTTATTTCCGTTAAAAAAAGACGATAACGATAGCACATAGATTATCTACAATACAAAATGCAGATTTAATATTAGTAGTAAAGAAAGGTCGTATAGCGGAACAAGGCAAACATTTCGATCTAATAGCAAAACGTGGACTTTATTACGAATTAGTAAACAAACAAATGTTGAATGGCAATAATTAAGTAATCAAAATGAAAAAAAAAACTTTGGTTTGTAATTAATAGAGTGTAGAACATTTTAGAATTTATATATGGAATATTCTGTAATATGATAAATTAGATTAAATATTAACTGTAATATGATATTAAATAAATAAATTTATTTGATAAAAATACTAAATAAATTTCTAACTGGCCTTGTGATTTGTTGAAGGATTTTTAGAAAAATTTGCATTTCTTGATATATCCTTTTTTATATATATATACTACAGTGCGAAACCTCTATAATAGGAACTTGGTTATTATAAAAAATTGTTGCATTAAAACTTTATTTACTACATATAGAAATAAAATTTTAACTGCAAAAATTGATAATTATCGGTTAAAATTTTGATCAGATCTAAATTGATCAACTTTTACAGGGGTTGTAAAAATAGTAAAACATTATAATTTTGCTTAAAAAACTGTTCCTGAAGTTTTATATTTAATTTTTTTAATTACCATTTGAAAATATGTACAAAATCTTGAAGGTATATATATATATATATATATATATATAGAAAATGTATTACTGAAAAAATGGCAAGATATGTAATTAAAAACTATAAATCTTATTTTCATGTACTTGATACAATTTATAATGAAATCAAATAATTAAAATTTCAATAAATAATTTATAATGAAATCAAATAATTAAAATTTTAATAAATAAAATAATTTTTAAATTCATAATCCTTATTCATATGGGCTAATTTGTTTCACTTCGATTATATCACCTGCTTATGATATACATTCAATTTTGTCACCTGGAACTGATCATCAACTCAAACATAGTGATACGATCCGGATGATCCATCCGATCCGTTCAATATGCAGATCATCCGTTCAATTCACAAGTCATCTGTCCAATCCGCAGATCATTTGTTCAATCTGTGAATTATTTTTCTATTTATCCACTTCTCCTGTTTCTTCCATTTATATTACCATTTCTATATTATCCACTTTTCCCATTTCTATATTACCACTTCTCTATTATTATCCACTTCTATATTATCCACTATTATCCACTTTTCCTATCTCTATATTACCTACTTCTCTATTATTACCTACTTCTATATTACCAACTTTTTCCATTTCTATATTAATTCACTTTTCCACTTCTATATTATTCACTTTTTCTGCTTCTATATTAATCCACTTTTTCCAATTTTCTATTTCTATATTACTCACTTTTCTCATCTCTATATTATTCACTTCTTTATTATTATTTACTTCTATATTATTCACTTTTCTCATCTCTATATTATTCACTTCTCTATTATTATCCACTTCTATATTACTTACTTTTTCCACTTTGATATCTGTGAATTGAATTATTAATCCGTGAATTTAATAGATAATTTGTAGATTGGATCATTAATCTGCAAATTGAATCATCAATCCATAGATTTACTAGATAATCTGAATTATTTATTATTCAATTCAGATCACCTGAAAGTTTTAGAAAAAGTGATCCATTCATTCATAAGATCATGGATGATCTGTTGGATTGATGGAATAGTTATCTATGGATCATATCTCTACACTCTCTTCTATACATTTTTTTTAAAAAACTGATATGTTGTGATTTGATGATCTTGATAATATTCACAAAATTGATAATATTTTTTTTTATAATAATTTTTATACGCGAACCCAATATTCTCACCAACATCAATCTTACATTTATTCTCCTGTATACTTTTCAATATTAGCTTAAAATTTTAAATTACATTTTATAACAAATTTTAAGATAAAACTTATTTAAAAAAAGAAGTCATAAACTTTTCTAGTTCATTCTGTTTGTGATCAGAAAGATTTTTTGTCTCTATCTATATCTGAATGACTTTTTTCACTATAAGCAAAGAATTGTTAATCATCTTGATAAGAATAAATTAATGAGAACAATTTTTACTATATAAATTTTATTTCAGATACTTTTAAAAATAGATCAATAAAGTACATATCAAAAATTCTTTCTATATGAAATATATTACCATATATATTTATCTAACCATTACTATAATAATAATATTCATGATATTAAATAAGGAAATGCTAATGGGTATAATTTAAGATTTTTATTAAAAACTTACAAGATATTCAAACACTCTTCAATATATTACATGTTTTATCATATATATCTACTATATCAGTTTCAATATCAAACAAAAAGCAAATATCCTTAATTCCTTAAGTATACTTTTCTTTACTGAATTTTTTAAGATTAAAAATTTTTGATTAAGTACCTCCAGCAACATTAGAATGGATGGATTCAATTGTGATTCTTTTTTTATAATTTTGATATATATTTTCTGAAATTTTGAACTTCAATATTCAAAAGAAATTCACTGGCACAAGGATGATTGGAATACAGGAAAATATCCTTAGCTCTAAAGTCAACAATACCTCAGCACAACAGACTATATAATAACATGTTAGTGAAGAATTCAAAGATGCAAAAATACTAATTAATATATAAAAATACTAATTAATATGCATATTATCAAACAAGCTATTTTATTTTCTCATATATTGCTAATTCCTTTTATTAACTTATCATAGAGAGTAAATGAATTGTCAATCTTAAGGCTTTTTCAAAAATCCTTTGTAATAAAGAATAAAAAATAAAAAAGAAATCCTATAATCAGATCATGATATCATGATTTGAAAATTATCTCTTCTTGATCTTTTTGTTTTCTCTTCTTTGATCTTTCAAATATTTCAATATTTTAAAAGTTGTATTATTTAATCCTATATCTACTACAAAACTATTCACAATTTTTATATTATAAACATGAACTGAGAATTTGTCAACTAACTTAGACTCATTCTTCTACCTTTGTGTAATGTGATGGTTAGGCTAATCATCCTTAAATGAAAAGAAATAAAGTTAATAATATCCAGTGTTTTTGCAATTATTCATCTTCTTCCATCAGATTAATTAAAAGTTTTAAACAACAAACAAAGAAACTGGAAGTTTGTCTGTGTCTGATAGGACCAATATTAGGTATACCTGCCACCCAAATTTAAAATCCAAATGCCGAAATCCCAAATGCCAAAATCCCAAATCCCAAATCCCAAATTATGATTAGTATTTTTTGCCGAAATCCCAAATCCCAAATCCCAAATACTAGTAATTTGGGATTTTGGCATCCCAAATCCCAAATGATTTGGGATTTGGGCAACACGTATAATGTTAGGTTAACTAAAAGTCTTGAACAACAAATAAAAGAAACTGAAAGTTCACCTGTACCTTGCATTAGTTTTGTAGCTTAATTGAAAGTCTTAACTGACTAAGAAACTGAAAGATTTCTTGTCACACTATTTATTAACAAAAATATTTTTTCACTTGTTACTTTGTACTGGTTAATAAGAATTTGTACTCTTTCTCATCTTGTTTTTTCTGTATTAGAGTTAACTATTTTTCAAGTAATTTAATATATATAGATCTTTTTTTTAAAAAATTCTTCCTCATATTCTTTTAAAAAATTTAAAATTTTCCATTCTATAAATTTTTATTTAAAATAGTCATGAATTTTATTTTTAGATATTGTTATAAACAATCTTCAAGACAAAAAAGTTTATATAAAAATGTTGATAAAATATATACTCTTTTGAAATGTCACTTATACAATTTTTTAAATATAATTTTTGCTACTGAATTTGGTTACTGAAATAAATTATATATAAGAATTCTCAAGTGCATATGAAATTTTTAAACCTTCTATCTTTATTCTATTTTTTATACTCGACTTTATTTTTTTCTAATTCAGATTTTTTTAAAATATACATTTAAATATTTTAGACATTAAGTTATATATTTTATAAATTATTAAATTATAAATCAAAAATTTTGAATACTTGATTAATAAAACTTTTGATTTTTTATATTCTTTTTGAGATAACTATTTCTAGTTTTTTATCGTATCACACTTCTAGAAGAAAAATTTCATTATTTTGACATATACATCTTTTTTTACAATTACAGTTAACAATATCCTTAAGTTTTTTGACATCTTTATATCAGCTAGTATTATGAAACCAATGCTGAGTCCCTTGTACTTCTAATGCAATTCAGTATTTTTGAAAAAAAGTATCGAGCTCCAATTCATTCAAAAAAGAAGGATGATACTCAATTACCAACTTTTTTCCAAGTAATACTTGAACTATTATGATACATTTTTCTTGAAAGTTACAATTTTTTTTAAACTCTAGTTCTTTTTTCAATTCATCTAAATTCTGTTTTGACTTTATATTCTCAATTTCAACTTTTTCTTTATTATACTTTAACTTTGTATTTTTAGTTTTGATTTTGATATTCTTATTTTTTAATCTATCTATTTCCTTTTCTAATTTATTATGAAGATTTTAAAGATCTTCAAATTATTGTTACACAAATTCTAATAAATCAATTTTGGATTATATATTTGTCATTGTTTATAAAGATTTAGAGTTTATTTAAGATCATGGCCAATTTCTTTTTTATATCTTTTATATAACTTGTAATGAATTTTATCTATTGAAATACCTGACAATACAATAAATTCAGCTTGCCATTTCAAATATTTGGAAGTTAAGTTTTTATAAGTCTTTGATTCTATACTCTACTTGTTCA